TTTCTGCTAAAATCTACTATCATTTTTACAGTTTTGAGTGTGTTTAGTTCAAGATTGTTCCGGCCGCACCACAAGGCTAGTTGTTCAACCTCCCATCTGTATGCAGATTCATCGTTGTCTCGCATGAGACCAATCACTCTTGTATCATCTGCAAACTTCAGTACTTTAACAGAGGGATCTTTTGAGATACAGTCATTGGTATATATAGAGAAGAGAAGTGGAGAGAGCGCATAGCCCTGGGGAGGGGGGGCTGTGCTAATTGTACAGGTATCTGATGTGATTTTGCCTAGCTTCACTGCTGCTTCCTGTCTGTTAGAAAGCTTATGATCCACTTACAAGTGTGGTCAGGCACAGCCAGATGATTTAGTTTAGTTAGAAGAATATCTGGAGTGAGGGTATTAAATGCCATGCCGAGCTGAAGTCTACAAAGAGGAGCCTTGCATAGGTCTTTGGAAATTCAAGATGTTGTGGGATGTAGTGCAGAGCCATATTAACAGCATCATCTGCTGATCTATTTGCTCGGTAGGCAAATTGCAAGGGGTCTAACGGTGGATCGGTGATGGTTTAAAGATTGCTGGCTACATTTCCTCTCACAATGAGGCAATAACATCTTACAGATTCAGGAAACCATCTCCCCATCCCAGCTGCATGAAGGAGCCCGGAAGGACAGGGTTCCAGCTCATAAGTCGCAGAGGACATTCTGTACATTCCCTTAAGAAATCCCTGGTGACGAAGCAGGAAGATGTCCTAGTAGCTCTTGCCCAGCCAGGTCCCAGTAACACAGGCCAAGCATATTGACATTGAGAGTGCAAGAGATTTGCAGGTAGATGCATGTCATAAGCAAGCAGCAGTACTGTACTGAGCAGCATCACCTTTTCTCTACAGATTTTGGACTTCTTACTGTATCTGAACTGTGCAAACCCGGGTGGTTGTCAGGAGACAACAAGGGTGCTCTCTTTTGGTTGTCCAGATACGGCAACCCCACCCGCTGGACTCATGAATGCACATGAGTGGACGTGATCTTTTTGCAGGCTGAAAAATATATTTAGAATTGCTGCCTACTTTTGGTAACTTGTAGCCTTACATCCATAAGCTATCAATCTGTGCCGAAACAAATTAGCATTTATCTAGGAGGCAAAGGAAAATAAAAGATTGATCCATAACTGTAAAAAAACAATGGCAGTTTTATTGTTGTATTAACAATCAGTCTTTCTTCTGAATCTACAGATTTGAACTGGCTGACAAATCAAAGCTTCTGCAATGAAGATGCACTGAGATTGCACCAAAATGTTTTAGAAATTACAGACGGTGTTCCTCCGCTCCAAAGGTAGTATAATACCTTTAGTATTGTTGTTCATAATGTACTGTTAAAACAGAAAAATATGGGCAGTTTTACCTTCCAGCAGCATCTGCCGGGAAGGGGCGGGTTGCACATCATGTGGATCAGTCTGAAAAAAGCAGGAGTGTAACAGATGATGAAAGTGGCAGGAGTCTGAGGATGTCCATGCTTATATAGTTGCTATAGCATTCTGTATTTATGCACACTAAATCACAAAGACTATTGTTTAAAATTCTCTCCTTCCTTTAAATAAGATGATAAATTCTAGTTCTTTGGTGAAGATGGAACAGTATGATCATTTGTCATTGCTGCTCAGATTGATTTTTTTTCATTCTTAAAATTACCGTTTAATTTCATTTTTCTGATAGAAAGACTGTATATTTGTGTTCCAGAGGTGAGACATTTTAGAAGATTGGTGGTTGGGATAATTGGATTTCAGGTCCCTCAAACTAGAACATACCTGTTTGGCAAAGATAGGCAAATACATGATTTTATCGCTTTGGAAGAAAAATGTCATATGTAAACTCGCTATGAACTTTATAATTGCAGCCTAAATTTTCATATTTAAGTGTTGTGCTTGGAAAAATAAAACTTTAACGTATGCTGTATAATCTGTGCCATCTTCTTTAGATTTTATCTTTCATTAAAAAATACATTTTGTAGCATACCTTCTAGATCTTTCTATTTTCCAATAGGTATAGGAAGATCATTGATAATGTGATTTTTATCTGCTTTATAAGCAATACAGCCACCAGTTTTGAACTCCCAGAAGAAAATGAAGCCAACAAAAGTTTCCAAGAATCACCTAAAAAAAGAAAGAAAAAGAAAAAACAAAGAGACCATAAGAAAAATAAAAAGAAAAGAAGAAAAGAATGGACCACTAGTGGGTCTGAACCTGAGGATGCGAGAGATGATAAAAATAATGAAAAAAGAGGAACAGAATTGAAGTACGTAAGTACATTTCATTTCTGAACTTGCACTTCTTATAGAACCAATCATTTCTTCCTTTTTCTGATTAATAATATTACTGACAAAGAGTTCAGCTATGAGAATAAGATAATTCATGCATATTTTTGCCTTTTTCTGTGTGCAACTTATTTCCAAGTAAATATGTACAGGATTGTGCTTCAAATCAATGAGAATTATCAACCAAGCATGCATTAAAAATTAGGATGTCTCTATCCTTTCTTTTAGTTACGTATTTTCTTAAGGACAAAAAGACACAAGTCGACTGTAGTGCAGTTTGTATGGTCATCTTAGAAACGTCTCTCTGAGAAGAAAGTAAATTTAAAAAAAGTGGTTTGTTGGATTGATGGGCAAGAAGATGAACAGGGATGGTAATGGAGTCAAAGTAAAAGGCAATTTGTTTTGTTATTACATGCGTACCAAGTCTTTCATCTGGGAATTCAAAGCATAACACTTAGGGGCAATCTGTTGCTTTTTGTTACCAAAATAACAGCTTTGTAAAGTAAGATAGACTGAGAGAGAGTGACTGGCCTGAAGCCAGTCAGTGAGCTCAACAGTCAAGGTGGTCTCTCTAATCCATAATACTTTTTTATGTGGGCATACAAGTCCTGTTGGGAGTTTGGAATTACTAGAATGGGAAAGAAAGAATGCAGGTTTAAATGGGGTCAGCCCATTCTTTTCAATATTTGGAGATGCTAGCAATATCTGCCCCCTGTTCAAAATGTGGGGCTTGGGCTTCTTTTCTTCCTTCTCTCTCACTGCCATTGTGATATGAATAACAAATAGACACAATACATTATTATAAACTGGCTTGACTGTCAAGATCAAGCTGTAATGATAGCCATTTAAAATAAGTGTATGATGTATTATTAATGTTTAGAATAACTGGCAGCCAGTCTCTGCACCACTGAAATCAATGAGTAATTGGCTGTAAATTTTTGAGAAGCTGTAATTTGACTAATGGTAGTTAATCATTTATTCAGCTTTTGGAATGAGGCACTGTTATAATACTAAGTTATATTCTGTGAATAACAATTTTGGGTTATTCACATTTTTGTGGTTATTCCTATTGGGCAAAAATTCTCCATTGCCACAAGCAATAGAACTAAATATTAGAACCTGGCACTTATCATCTTGAGAATCTGAATTCCAGATTGGAATTCTAAGAAACAGTTTTATCTTCTTTTGCTCACCAGAAATATATGCGAGTGTCTATTAGTGTGTCTTAAATTCCTTTGCAAACTGTTCAAATTAATATGAGCCGGAGTGGGGGAAGTTTCTGAGCAGATAATGTTGGGCTCTTTTTTGTATTAATTTAGCACTCATTTTAGAACTTCAGTAATTTGGATGATCTTTAACCTGCCTTTCTTTTCAAACCCTTTTCCTGTAAATGTACTCTTTGAATATTTTGAAATAGCTTTCGGCACAGTACTGGGAAAGATTTCAAAAGAAAGCAAATACTAGCTTTCCATCAGTCATTTTATCCACATGTTAAATAAGTCTAGATATCAAGGTTAATCCACGTTAATATTTTTGTTTTTAAGCTTTGTGATCCTTTTGTAATACTACATTGAATTGTCTCTTGTATTTCTTAGCTCTTGTTAGTGACTGATTATTTATAAAATATCACAAAAAATGTGCTGTAGTACATATTGTCCTTCTGCAGTTAAGATGCTTCCCCCCAATATATATATATACATATATATACACATATATACATATATATACATATAGCAGGCCCCCTCGGCATACGTCCCCTTCGTTCCTACGGAATGGTAGCTTAGACGGATTGTGGGACTATTACTTACATTGTCGTGAGTTTTCCTGCGCTTAAGTCTTTTTCCTCGGCCTGTAGTTTCGTCCGTCGTGCGAACTTCATGCCGTCCTAGTCGACCCCGGCCAATGTGCGAGGTCCTCGGCCTTCGAGGCGTTGAACAACTGTATATAAACCTTCCCAGCATTTGCCTTTTTAACCCTGATGATGTCAAGTGCACTTGACGAAAGCTTGGTAGATTAAACTCTATATGTTTTATAGATTTCTCTTGTATATATATATATATATATATATATATATACATACACACATACTGATGGCTCTAGATATATAATAACTCATAAAGAACGTACAGAGTGCCTTAAAATGCTACGCCTCAGTACTGTTTTAATTAACAGCACAGGGAGGGTAATTATGTTTGCAGCACCTCAACGTAAATCCAGCTAATTCTAAAAGAGGAAATACAGAAGTAGTAAAAAAAAAATACTTTACATATCGAATGAATTGGTTCAGGATCCTACCTCTATTTACTTGCGGCATACTCCGCTGAAGCCGATGTGGCTTATTTCTGAGTAGATACCGATAAATCCTACTGATGACATGATGTGTAAAATGTTCACTTCATTCAGTAGTTTGGCTTTTCTTTCTCTTTTTCATAGGTTTTGCGGGTTTAAGAGGAAGCCTAAATTTTAGTTCGTTTAAAACAGGGGTAGTCAACCTTGGCTCTTTTATGACTCGTGGACTTCAACTCCCAGAATTCCTGAGCCAGCTAAGCTGGCTCAGGAATTCTGGGAATTGAAGTCCACGAGTCATAAAAGAGCCAAGGTTGACTACCCTGGTTTAAAATATACTGCTTAAATTTTTGTTTTAGATCTTATTTGATTTGTACTAGAGGTAGTCCTCGACTTAGGACCACAATTGAGCCCCAAATTTCTGTTACTAGACAAATCTGTTGTTAAGTGAGTTTTGCCCCATTTTGCAACCTTTCTTGCCACAGTTGTTAAGTGAATTACTGCAGTTGTTAAGCTAGTAGCACGGTTGTTAAGTGAATCTAGTTTCCCCATTGACTTTTGCGTGTCAGAAGATTGCAAAATGTGGATCACAAGACCCCGGGACACTGCATTAAACAAAAATACATGCCAGTTGCAAAGTGTCTGAATTTTGATTATGGGATCATGGGGATGCTGCAAGGGTCGTAAGTGTGAAAAATGGTCATGTCACTTTTTTCAGTGCCGTTGTAATTTTGAACGGTCATTAAACGAATGGTTATAAGTCAAGGACTACCTATGCTTATTTTCCCCTTCCCTCATTTTAAATTTATTTTTGCAGCTTAGAAGAAAAAAACACAAATGTGGCCTATCCCTCTACTTGGCTTGATGACGTTCAGGGTTTGACAGCAGAAGGATTCAGAACAGATAAGAAGCCAGACCCTGCAAATTGGCAGTATAAGTCATTATATCGAGGCAACATTGCAAGGTAATCAATCTGGTAGCAGTAACGGTTTAGACAATATTATTGAGAGTAAAAAAAAAATAACTTAAGAATACTAATGATCTGTGATTCAGGGAAAACTTTGGGCATTTTCTTGTATGCAATTTGTAAAAAGCTCAGCGATATTTTCTTCCTTTAGTCCCTCCCCCCTTTATTTTGGCTAGATGTGAGAACAAACAACAGCCTGTGTGCCAATTTTGTGAAACAAAGCTGCTCCATGATCTGGAAGTGAGGGGGGAAGTGAGGATTTGGGAATTTGCTGTGTAGTCACAATTGGGTACTTGACCGTAATATGTTTAGCTGCATTGTCCTGGTTGATATTTATAATTACCCGACTATAGACTTAAAATTCAAAGCTAAGCTTCTGAGCATGTGGATGTTTTAAAAAGGATTGTCCTTTATAAAAAAAAGTTCATCTTTTCTTTTAATAGGCAACTCATCTTGCACATAATAGAATCCCCTGAGAATATTTCCAGATTTATAATATATCCTAAAAATGTTTTGAAGCCTGTTGTCACAGGAAAAGACATTTGCTCTCTAGTGCCATAATTCCGCCCAGTGAGTTCATTTACTAATCACCACCTGAGTCCTGTTTTAATTCTAATTTAATAAGTTCCGACTCTGCAGAGCCAACAGTCGAATGATCTTGCACCTGGCAATTCTAGCAAAACAGCTGACTTGCCTAAGTTTCACATTGGAGGGTGTCAGTTTTGCATCTGGGAATCCTCTGTTGTTGATTGTTCAGCAGCATTTTCTTTTGCAACTTTCTAGCCTAGCCTAGTCTAGTCCTGTTCTCCCTCCCCCACCTAATATGCAGTAGAGTAGGATTCCTGCTTTTTAATAGTGGGAAGATGAACAGTGGACAACAGGATAAGCTAGGAGAATTGCCCTGAAAGTTTTGGTAATCAGACTTCCAGTTTGTGACCAGGCAATAAACCTGGCAGTGTAATGGATTGTACACCTGTAGGAGCAATAGGGGATAGTTTTGGCAACATAGGGTTTTCCCAAAAAGAGGCCTGAATTAAGAGAGCTGGAGGGGGCAAGTGGGTCTGAGTAGCCATCCCCAAGAATCTCTCAGATATATCCGGTAGGTTAAAAAGTTTTAACTTTAGTTTGGCAAAATTCTATCCGTTAGATATAAGCAAATATAGGACTGAACTCAATTAAATCTCAATATCTTGTCTTATGCCTGACGAGATTGATCAGTTTATAGATAATTAATAATATCCATTTGTAACATTTTAAAAATAATTTTGGAGTTTGAAAATATGCCTTTATTCTGCACTATGTTAAAAACAGCCCATGTATATTGCCTTGTTTCTCATGCTTTCAGTGCTTTCCATACATAATGAACTTATTTAAAGGTAAACATCTTTTTTAAAGGTAAAAATAAGCGATAGTTCCTGCCTCTAAGTAGGAAAGGCAAGGCACAAATTGAAATAATTGATAAATTCATTTTAATAAGGGACCCAAGATAGTTGCAAAAATTAAGGAGCTGCCGGCTAATGATTAACCCTCAGATTGTGGTTTCTGACGTGGCAATCCTGCTGACATTTGCCATTGGAGGACCAGTGCTGAATTTGTGGGAGTTGCTTTCCCACTTCATGGTTTGATTATGCTGCATGTCTAATATCTTAGAGGTCAGTAGTTTCTGGGGAAGGCTCAGAGAGTTTGTGGGAGGAAATATTCATGAATAAAATCTTAAAGCTACGATGATCAGGGTCCGAGAAAGACTTTTCTCCAAACACTGCCTTGGGAATAGTCAGTTTTAACTATCACTTTTAAAGGTATAGGAGACGAAGCAACTTCTGCCTTGGCCTTCAACCTAAGGAGCAACATATTATTTGGGAGAGCTCAGCAGCAAAAAAACCCTCTTCCTGTAAGCGGTTGGAACGCTACTTCACAAAAGGTGGTCGGAAGCTCCTGAACGAGGAAGGTATTCATGTCAGCAGTAAAAATCAAGATTCCTCCTCTGGCTCAGCCTCCTGGATACCAATTTTGCAACTAGATCCAGCAGAGGCTCCTTCTACAAGCTGGGTAAACCCTCTTGGGGTTTATGATCTGCAGACCACACTGTGGCTACAAGGAAAAGGGCCCCCCGCTGAACATGGCTTACCAAATAAGCAAGACCCTCAAGAGAACCCCCAGAATGCAGACTCTCCCCTAATGGGAAAGGTGGAAGAATATAACTGCAGAGTCAGAGAGAATCCCAGGGATGTCAAAGCATGGATGGATTTGGTTTCTTTTCAGGTAGGCATGA